AAGTTGTTCCACTGATTAATTGTCAGGAAGTTTCTCCTTAGTTCTAGGTTGCTCTTCTTGATTAGTTTCCACCCATTCCTTCTTATCCTGCCCTCAGGTGCTTTGGAGAATAGCTTGACTCCCTCTTCTTTGTAGCAGCAGCCCCTGAGATATTGGAACACTGCTATCATGTCACCCCTAGTTCTTCTTTTCATTAGACATAGTCAATTCCAGCAACTGTTCTTCATATGTTTTAGCCTCCAGTCCCCTAATCATCTTTGTTGCTATTGATGCAGAAGAAAATGCATTGAGCAATAGACATACCTTCTTCCCTCTTCCACTCTGCTTCAAATTCAGAGTATTTGAAAGCTATCATTGGAAAAGTCATCCTTGTTGCAGCAATGCTCCTGCATAATTGTTTGCTTAATGGGATTTGGATGCCAAATGCCCTATAGCAGGGGTATCAAACTCAATTTCATTGAGGGCTGAATCAGGGCTGTGGTTGACCTCGGGGGGGCTAGGCGGGTGTGGCTGACTGGGTGGGTGTGGCCAGCTTGACACCACTCACTGGGCGTGGCCAACTGGGAGGGCGTGATCAGCTGGGTGGGCCTGGCCAGCTTGACTCCACTCCCCAAATTGCTGGCATCTTTCCTCTTTGCATTGGGTAGACCGGGCTGAAGCCACGCTGGCCTGATGTTTCCTATTCGCATTGGGTAGACTGGGCCAAAGTGACATGGGTAGACCGGGCCGAAGCGATGCAGGCTGGCCGCTTACATTTTCAAGGACGGCCCCATGGGTCAGATCCGACCACATCGTGGGCCGGATCCGGCCTGCGGGCCCTGAGTTTGACACCCCTGCCCTATAACGAGAGGACATCATTAACTTCTAAGGTTCTAGAAATCACTGCAATTTTGATTAATATTAAAAGCTTTTTAAAACAATGGAGAAAGAGAGAGACGGGAGGGGGGGTGAAACCTAATCAAACCATCTGAGGAACAGAAAGCTTCTGTAGTGAGTCACTCAACTATGAGACAGCAAGCTGAGCTACCACAATACAGTTCGTGTGCTGGATTTTTTTTGGAAATAAGATTGTAACTCATGCATTAAAAATGGAATGCACGAGGCACTTTAGGCTGAGCTCATGGTGAGAGGATTTTGCGCCCTACCCGCTTCCTGATTCAGTGGCATAAGGAATAGATGGTTGAATGTCTACTAGAAAACTGCGAAATAGAATTTCAGGCTTAAGAGAGGCTGAACATTTCAAAGTCTGCATTGTAGTTTATAAGCAGTAGAGATGATGACACTGTATAATCAGAAACTTTGAAAATTGAAACAAAGTCTGGCTGGTTTGCATAGATCATGTGAACTCATCACTTAGTGATGGCAATCTTGGCAGTCCTGGTTGCTGTCATAACCGAGAGACTGTGTGGTTCCTTAAGAGACAATATCGTATCATATCATATAATCTTTATTGACATTTTTTTCCTGTGGGACTCTGGCACCCATTAAAAATGAAGTCAATAAAAATGTTGCCTGCTCTCAAAAGTGCACACATACGTAACACACATATAGATATGCTATAAACATACATATGCATATACCTGCACACTAACATATACCGTGTTTCCCTGAAAAAAAGACCCTGTCTTATATTTTTTTGAACCCCGAAATAAGCGCTTGGCCTTATTTTTGGGGAGGTCTTATTATTTTGGGGCGCATGGAGCATGATGGGGCTCTTCTTGCCGCCTTATCTTATTTCCAGTTCTACGTTTAAAAATTTTCAAGGAGGGTTTATTTTCGGGGGGAGGCTTATTTTAGCGCATGTGCTCAAAAGCCCGATTGGGCTTATTATCAGGGGATGTCTTATTTTCGAGGAAACAGGGTAAATACGTATAAATATTAATCACTGTCCATCTTGAAGACATAGCGGAAAGAGGAAGTTTCAGAAGGTTGACCAGATTCCTAGGCAGACAGGCTGACAGGCAAGCATTGCAGGTGGACACTGCTGAACATGGGTGGCAGCAGGGGCCACAGGCAGGCTGGCAGGGGTTGTGGCCAGATGATGGGTGCTTGGGAGTGTGAGATTCTTGAGACCTTGTACGCCCTGGCATGGCTCAGGAGGAAGGATTTATGGGACCTTCCCTGCTGGCTTTCCCATTGGTGATCACAGAACCGCTGCTTGCTGCAATGCTGTGATTGTGAGCCATGTAAAATCCTGACACGGTCACATGACTGTGGGAATAGTACTTAAACTTATATACCGAATGTTGTAACACGGAGATGTCAAACACAAGGCCCGTGGGCCGGATCTGGACTGTGATGTGGTTGGATCCAGCCTGCAGGGCCATCCTGGAAAATGCAAGGGGCCGACCCACGTCGCTTCGGCCCAACACAAAGCGGAAATTGGGCCAGAGTGGCTTCGGCCCAGTCTACCCAATGCAAAGAGGAAAGATCAGGCCAGTGTGGCTTCGGCCTGGTCTACCCAGTGCGAAGAGGAAATATCCGGCCCGCATTGCTTTGGCCCAATCCACCCAGTGTGAAGCAGAAACATTGGGCCAGCGTGGCTTCGGCCCGGCTACCCAATGTACCCAGGCCACGCCTACCCAGTCAGCCACACCCACCCAGTTGGCCATGCCTGCCCGACCCCCGAAGTCAACCACAGCCCTGATGCGGCCCTCAATGAAATTGAGCTTGACACCCATGTTGTAACAGCTGCAATTTTGCAGTTCAGTTGTAAGTCCTCCTCATTCAGCACATCATAACTTTGGTTGCCGAACAAATGGTCCTACCTCAAGGACTACCTGTAGCAAGAGTTTGTTTCATTATATATCTTGATGGTTATTATCTACCCATCCTTATTTTATATATAAATGCAAATGGGTAGAACCTGGGATCTACTCCATGGAAATCAGTACTCTACTACTGAACTATACTGTCTGTTCAGAACCTTTTCCTGTCTGTTGATTTTTGTTGGTTTGTAGAAGAGTCTACCAGGGCTTATTTTAAGCATAATCCTTTGTTCTCTTTTATATTTAATTCAAACATGGAAATGTAATAATATTGCTGAATTATTACTGGATTAGTAGTTGGAACTGGGCGTGCTACTGTGCTTTTTTATCTTTAGTTTTTGCATAAAGGTATCAGTGATGTTTGATATACTTTAGAGCAGAAAGAATCCCAGTAATATTTCAAACAACTAAGGGACACATGTGACCGTTGCACAGAGTAAGATTTGAAGGCCTGTGGCTGAACTAGCTAGTGTGGCTGTGCAAATAATGTGGAAGAGTGATTTCTGGCAGAATTGTCACCTGTGGGTGCCAACAGAGATATGGCTCCCTCAGTACCGTTACAAATTATTCACATACTCCTACCAAGGTAGTCATCCCCTCAGCTAGTCTTTTTACGAAAGAATCATGCTAAGCAGTAGTAAACATCCAAGGGCAACTCTGGAAAATGCTTCGCATGTTTCAAAAAGCTGTATGTTATCATTTTATGCACTGCAAGGATTGTACGTTGGAAACTGATATCCAACATGAAACAATTCTATCCAAGTCCAAGCTACAAGCCACTTTTAACTTCTACTCTGGCTCTTTGTTGTTTCTTTGGAGGCCTTGAAATCCTCCCTTTGCTGGTCATTTCCATCTAAGCAATTATGCTGTCAGTCTTGCTCACTAAATTATGAACAGTCAGATTGCCAGAACCGGCTAGCTGAGCGTTCTTGTGCTCTTGGTGCTTTCAGAGCTCGGTTGTTGGTTGCATCTGAAGGCAGGACAAGAAGCAACAAATGGAAACTAATCAAGGAGAGAAGCAATCTTAGATCTAAGGAGAAATTTCCCGACAGTAAGAAAAATGAATCAGTGGAATGGCTTGCCTTCATCACTGGAGATTTTTAAGAAGAAATTGGGCAACCATTTGTCTGAAATGGCATAGGGTTTCCTGTTTCGGACTAGAAGACCTCCAAGGTCCCTTCCAACTCTGTTACGCTATTATTTATTTTTGTATTTATTTTTGTATTTATTTATTTATTTAGTCATGTTTATGTAGTGTATATTGGAGATGGTGACCCTTTGAGAGCTGTATGCAATGAAATTTCATTTTAATGTATGCCAATTAGTGTACATTCAAAGTGACAATAAAGTCAGTCAGTCAGTCAGTCAGTCAGTCAGTCAGTCAGTCAGCCAGCCAGCCAGCCAGCCAGCCAGCCAGCCAGCCAGCCAGCCTGCCTGCCTGCCTGCCTGCCTGCCTGCCTGCCTGCCTGCCTGCCTATCTATCTATCTATCTATCTATCTATCTATCTATCTATCTATCTATCTATCTATCTACTGTGTTTCCCCGAAAATAACACCCTGTCTTATATTTTTTTGAACCCCAAAATAAGTGCTTGGCCTTATTTTTGGGGAGGTCTTATTATTTTGGGGTGCCTGGAGCAAGCCTGGGCTCCTCTTGCTGTCTTTCCAGCTCTGCGTCTACATTTTTTCGGGGAGGGCTTATTTTTTGGGGGAGGCTTATTTTAGCGCATGCACTTAAAAGCCCGATTGGGCTTATTATCAGGGGGTGTCTTATTTTAGGGGAAACAGGGTATCTGTCTGTCTGTCTGTCTGTCTTTCTGTCTTCTATCTATCTATCTATCTATCTATCTATCTATCTATCTATCTATCTATCATCTCTCTCTCCCCCCCACCTACTTACCTACATCCACCTGTCTGTCTGTCTGTCTGTCTGTCTGTCTGTCTGTCTGTCTGTCTGTCTGTCTGGTCTATCTATCTATCTATCTATCTATCTATCTATCTATCTATCTATCATTTTATTTTCTTGGAAATATTCTCATTGATACTGAAAAGATTTTTCCTATTGGAAAACAAAGGTTTGGTTTTGAAGAAACCTTAATACTGGTTTCTTAAAAGCTAACTTTGAATTTTGTTTACTATGTCATACTGTAGATATTAAATAGATTGAAACAGCCTTATAAATAAGTCCAGTTTGGATGAGAAATATTTATGCCGTTGTTCTTTGAATTTCAGATATTTATGAGCCGCCATTTCTTACATTACTGCAGTGAGCCTACTCTGGATGTGAAGATTGCCTTTTGTCAGGTGTGTGTTCCTTACAGGTAAAACAAGGTACAGTATATACTTGTACTTACATATTTTGTGATCAGTATTTCATATCAATCATGCATGTGACTAAAGGTCTATAACAACCACCTCAATCTGGTTCATCCTATCACTAGTTATGTTGGCTGGAATTCATGGTGCTAAAATGTGGAAGTGAATGGGGCATAGAATTTAGCAGAATGTTTATATCTCAGAGTAGGCCATTGCACAACGAGGATCCTAGTCACTTAGGGATAGTTTGAAATTACCACCGCAAAAAAAGGATGTAAAATCAGGCACAATCATTCAGAGACTCACTTCACAACCTATATGACTTATAGCGATAATTACATGCCCAACTATAGTCATAAATCAAAGATTATATTTAATAATATCTCATCTAAAGAGGGTAAAACCAATAAGCCTAACACAAGGGTGTCAAACTCACGTCATCACGTCGTTGTCATGTGATGTATGGCGACTTCCCCACCTTTGCTAAACTGGGGGTGGGCATGGCCAGCCTGTGACACCTCTGGCCCGCAGGCCATGAGTTTGACACCACTGCCCTAGAGGATACTATCAAAGTGTATGCATAGTCCTGGAAAGAACACAGTTAATTGTATACGTCTGGGGTGAAATCCAATTTTTTTTACTACCAGTTCTATGGGTGTGGCTTGGTGGGCGTGGCTTGGTGGGCATGACAGGGGAAGGATACTGCAAAATCTCCATTCCCACCCCACTCCTGGGGGAAGGATATTGCAAAATCTCCATTCCCACCCCATTCTGGGGCCAGCCAGAGGTGGTATTTTCCGGTTCTCTGAACTACTCAAAATTTCTGCTTCCGGTTCTCCAAACTGCTCAAAATTTCTGCTACCGGTTCTCCAGAACCTGCTGGATTTCATCCCTGGTATACATGTATAGCCGTGCCTTCATTGAACATGCAGTTTTATACCGTATTTGCTGGAGGAAATTTTTCTCTCACTGAGTTCATCTGGAAAAAAAGAGATATTTTAAAAGAAGTTCTCTGCTTCCGGTTACGGTTAATAAAATAATTGTTATTAAACTAAGATTTAAGAAATATTGAAAATTTTTAAACAGAAGATAAACCTAAACAAATATAATGAAAAGTTAGAGAAAGAAGGAAGATAAAAAAGTCAAGAAAGCAATACAGTTAAAGGAAGGAGAAAAAGATTTAACAATGCAAATTCTATCCTATTCTTTATATGACTGTTTTATATTATTGGCAGTTTTATTTCTGGCTCCTTTGTTAGTGACCTCTTCCAGGAAATGGGGTGGAGATGCTGATGGTGTGTTCTATTTTTCTGAGATCTCTTTCCTTTGTCAACTGCCCCATGCCACCACGTATTCTTCCCTAAGCACCAAAAATGCAAGAAAATTGATAATAAAAGTACAGGAAACCCCAGGCCTTGTTCTGAACCACAGCTATCTTGTGAAATACCTTGTATCTATATGATGTAAAATTCTAATATTGCTATTTCTCCCAGTCAAACAGCAAATGACCTAATTGTATCCATTCTTTGAAATGAGTTTGCAAGTGATACTAAATGCTGCAGGCAGAACGTTGAACATTTTGATTGAAATGAAAAATATGGTCCCAGTTCTGTTCAAAGTATTCCGATCTTTGGCTTGTTTAAGATTTTTTGAGCTTATAATTGACTGCTGGCAGAGTAATTCAAGATATGTTATGTTATGTTATGTTATGTTATGTTATGTTATGTTATGTTAATTTTATTTATATACCGCCCCTCTCCCGAAGGACTCGGGGCGGTATACAGCCAATTTAAAAACATAAATATACAGACATCATCATTAAAAGTAATTAAAATCAATTTAACAGTTTCGGCCAAAATTTAAAACCCCAAGTTAAAACTCCAATTTAAAAACCACTTACCGGTAAATAGACAGCCCCGCCTGTCGGAACAGTAGGATCTTGAAAGAATCACTTTCTTTGACATAGGGCAAATCTTTCTGTCCCATGAAGTTTTTAGAATTGTGTCTATTTCATGTTCACACATGATTAGACTCAATGGTTTGTGTCTATACCTAAGTCTGTGCATACTTTGGGTAGGCAAATAGATCACTGAAGCTTGTGTAGTTATCCATATAGGAACAGCCTGCAATTACTTAATCCAGTGTTTCTCAATTTTAGCCACTTTAAAATGGGTGGACTTCAACTCCCAGAATTCCCCAGCCAGCATAGGAATTGAAATCCACCCAGCTTAAAGTGGTAAGGTTGAGAAATACTGACTTAAACCAAACATTTATTTTCATGTTATAACTGTAGAGGACAGCCACTTGATCAGAGGTGGTATTCAGCTGCTTCGGACAGGTTCAGGCGAACCGGTAGCGGAAATTGCAGGTGGGCCTGCCTGGCTCTATGCCGTCCTATTTAGGCACATTTTTGAGGCCTGTCACATGCGCGGAAGGCGCATGTGGGAGCAAAGTGTGTGCATGGAAGGCCAGCCGCATGCACGGAAGGCGCACACGTGTGAAGCGCGTGACGAACCGGTGGTAACAAAATGTGAAACCGACCACTGCACTTGATCCTGGGAAAAGATACAGCTGCTTTAAAAAGCTTATGACAGTTGCTACATGAGCACTCCATGCACCCCGAATCAATATTTAGTTTTCAAACTCTATACAATAATATAAGTTGTAAATATACTTATATTAGAATTTATATAATGTGGCAGTCCCAAATAACTTAAATACAATTTAGCCTTTAAATAAGGGGAGTTTTCAAATTAGTACTCCAGATCCGAGGTGGGTTTCAGCAGGTTCTGACCAGTTCTGGAGAACCGGTAGCGGAAATTTTGAGTAGTTCAGAGAACCGGTAGTAAAAATTCTGACTGCCCCCCACCCCTTCTATTCTCTGCCTCCCAAGTCCCAGCTGATCGGGAGGAAATGGGGATTTTGCAGTATCCTTCCCCTGGAGTGGGAATGGAGATTTTACAGTATCCTTCCACTGCCATGCCCACCAAGCCATGCCCACCATGCCATGCCATGCCATGCCCACCAAGCCACGCCCACAGAACTGGTAGTAAAAATTTTTGAAACCCACCACTATATCCAGATATAACTCTCTTAGTACCCTTGATCTAATTCTCACTCAAGCAGAGTTGACACAAAGAACTCTACAATGATCGCCCTAGAATAATTTCCTGGCCAGACTCTATTTTGGAGTTACCATTGAAGCGTTTTCATTCAGGTTCTCATGCTGTTAGTTTTCCTTGAGAAAGAACATCCCATAAATTAATCTGTAGAAATTTATTTGAAATTCAATAAAATAAATTAAGAATATGACCTTGTTTAGTAAGGGAATTACTAATAGTAATGGGATTACATTTTCTTGACAGTATAGTCTCTTAAATTCAAAGGCATAAAGGCATCAGCATAAAAGCTCTCGTTACTTCAGTGTTTTTCTCCCCTCTAATTAACTAGAAAAAGAGGTTAGGTCTTGTTAGTGTATTCATATCCTGTTAAGATGGAACAATTTCACATAATGTTGCACATAAAAATGCATTAAATTGGCCAGGATGCTTTTGGGTCATTTCACATTCTTTTTAATCCGTTCCATCATCACCCTCTTATTGGTTTTGAAGTGACTAAGTCCACTGCCAGAGAATTGTGCTTATAAAGTTTAAATTCACTTCCAGACTTTGTAATGTCGATTTTCAACATCTGCTATCTAAAAATAACAGCTGCCTGAAGTGTAATTGAATATAAATATCAGGGAACTTTGGAAAAAATCTTAGGCTAAGAATGTATGCTTAAAAAGCATAACCTGATAACCTAACTTGATTTTAGAAATGTCTCTTTCGAAGAGATGCTTCAAGCCAATTTTTTTTACAATACAGCATTTTGATTAAAATCTGATAGTGCCACCAAGGGCCAGATAAAATGGTTGTATCCAAATACTGTCAGTTGACAATTGCTCTGTTAGTGCACTAATAACACATTTTTCAGGTTTAGAAATATTGTTCTGTATATTTCACCATCTGGATATTCCCTCACCCTTTGCATCTACAATTTTTCCCTTAATGCTTGTTTCAAACCAGAATTTAGTCAATGTTTAAATTGACTACGTGGAAGTATAATTTGGGGAAGAAACAGAAACAGTTACCCATCTGATAAAGAGAATTCACACCATCTGCTTTAGGAAACTTTTCTGTTTGCGCAGGATTTCAGTGTCCTGCCATTATCCTTGCCCAATAAGTAGAAAGATAATGTGCAATTATATGAAACCAGGTGTTTTAACTAAATAGTTAGCCAACTGTTGTATTCTGTGACATGTTTTTCAGCCAAATACATATTTGTCTACTACTTTATCCTTCTAGTTGCACTGCCAAGGATTAAACATGGAACTTGCTGTATGTTAAAGAATGCATCTACCAGAGAACATTGCTCCTTATATTTGTTCATCTTCTGAGGAAGCCAGGGCCACAACTATTCCTATCCTACATTGCTGGAAAGGAAAATAAATCAAGATTCTCAAGAGATGTAGTTCATAGGTCCCAGAGTAAGTCATATTCAGAATAACAGAGTTGGAGGGGACCTCAGAGGTCTTCTAGTCCAACCCCCTGCTTAGGCAGGAAACCCTGCACCACTTCAGACAAATGGTTATCCAACATCTTCTTAAAAACTTCCAGTGTTGGAGCATTTACAACTTCTGGAGGCAAGTTGTTCCACTGGTTAATTGTTCTAACTGTCAGGAAATTCCTCCTTAGTTTTAGATTGGATCTTTCCTTGATTATTTTCCACCCACTGCTTCTTGCCCTGCCTTCAAGTATTTTGACCCCCCTCTTTTTTGTAGATGTCCCTCAACTATTGGAATATGCTGTCATGTCACCCCTAATCCTTTTCATTAAACTAGACATACCCAATTCCTGCCACTGTTCTTCATATGTTTTACCCTTCGGTCCCCTAATCATCTTTGTTGCTTTTTTCTGCACACTTTTTAGAGTCTCAACATCTTTTTT